AACTTTAAAAATGTTAGGAAGCTACTTGCTTATTTTGAAACGCTACCTAAAGTAGCGTTTCAAAATAAGTTCTTATTATAAGCTATGAACTTATTTTGTAAACATTACTAACAGAGCTTATAACTTATTAGTAGCTTAAAATAAGCTATAAGCTCTTAAATAAGCTACCAAACAGACTCATAATATAACAAAGAAAATATAATTAATTAAACTTTTGCACATGCACAGCTTAACAATTTTTCTTTGTCCTCAGACTTTTTCAACTCGGGTAAATTCAACATGTACGAAATGTTAAGAATATTATCATTTTACTAAACTTTATATTTGTCTGTATGTAGATATTTTAAACATTTTGGACTAAATTTAGTGAATTCAAGAAAGTTGAAAAATAAAAACTGATCAAATTCATAATTTGTTGTTCCATCTATCTTATTTTATCTATCCTACTTATTATTCATGGGACAAATCATCTATTTCTTCTTTATTTATTTTTTAGTATATATTTTTTACTTATTTTTATATTTAATTTTTTGTGTTTAATAGTACTTTTGTATAAATATATAAATATTTTATACTAATACCAAATTTAGTATTATGAAAAATTGAATTAAAAATAATTTCAGTCAAACCTCATTAATTGAATCAGACACATAAAATGGAACATAGGAATACTATAGGCCCTGTTTGGTAAAATGGCTGTTAGCTGATAGTTGTTTGCTGTTAGCTGATTGTGTTAATTAGAGGGTATAAATAGTTGATAACATTAACTGATTGTAGAGAAGTGTTTGGTAAATTAGCTGTTAGCTGATAACTGTTTGGTATAATTAATTGAAAAAGTTGCTTGGAGTAGCTTTTTTGAATTTTAGTATTTTAGAGTTGCAAAAAGCTAATTAACCAAACATTTATATTGATATTTTAACTAAATCAAACAATTAATAGTTATCAAATAAGCCAAAATTGACTTATATGCCAATTTTTTACCAAACAGGGCCATAATAGTTGAATAAAAAAAGAGAAAAAAAAATAAATATTGAATATTGATAAAAATGTACAAACAGGTTATCTGCTTCTAGTCAGACAGGCGAAATTTTTTGAACAAATAAATATATAACTAGGGAGAGAGAAAGAACAACAATTAAATACCTTTCAAAAAAAGAAAAAAAAAACAACAATTAAATAAGATAAAAAGAATTAAAGTTGTGAACCTGTCAAGAAACAATATTTGTGTAGGTAGGGGATATTGGAAGCATCGGCAGACGCCGCGTACAGAATGCAGCCGACCAAGTTGGATTTCGATGCTACGAATTATTCAACAACAGACTACCAAATAAGACACTTTGACCCGTATCTTCTAGATCCAAGTTTTGGAATTTCAAACTAAACTTACAAATGTATTATCTAATCTAAAAACATAATATGTGTGAATACAAATTATGTCCTTGATTTTTGTCCATTTTTTATATGCTAATAAATATATACATTTTACTTTAATTGTTGTACATTTCATTTGTATTGGACAAAATCATCCTTACACCGTTATAACACCGTTAGTATTTAATATATCCACCAATCTTACCATACACCTACATTTAATTATAAATTATATTTTAATTAAATATTTATATGAATGTTAAATTATTTATATATATATATATATATATATATATATATATATATATAATGTATGTATATTATTTGTGTATACATATCAATATATTATATATGTGGGTTTTAATTAGCTTAGTATTATTTGTAAATTATTATTATATAAAAATATAAAAAAAAAACAAAAACAAAAATAAAATTGATCACTATATTATTCAAATATATGATAATTCCAAAGTATCATCACGTACTTTAAAGAATTGCGAAATATAATTTTAACTAATTTTTTTAAATTTTGTTACTTAACAATATTTTAATATTGGGCATAGGTTTTCGCGCATCGCGCGTACAAAATGCTAGTATTCAAATAAGAGTTAATACCTCGAATGATCATCTGAGTATTAACAATTTATCAGCTGTGGTCATTCGAGTTTTAAATGATCTCCAATGGTTCTTCATGTTTTGAAAAATAACCACCCGTGATCCTAATTTTTAAAAAATTCAAGTTTAAAATGACCACGGGTGATTATTTTTAAAACATGGAGAACCATTGGAGGTCATTTAAAACTCGAATGACCACAGCTAGTAAATCGCTAATCTTCAGAGGACGATTGAAAGTATTAACTTATTTAAATAACTTACTTTGTAAGATTAAATAAATATTTAATAATAAAAAACAGTTAATAATAAAATAGTGTAATTATTTTATTATCAAAATAAAGATCAAATTATTATTTTATAATTAACAATTACATTTATATTAGTTTATTATACTTAAGTTTTCATCAGGCACATTCAACGTACAATAATTTATATTATCAAATAACCACATATAGGTAATAAATTATCTTATGTTGTTAGTACTTACCATATGTTTACTTCACAGAATAGATTTTGAATGAATGAAATGTTATTTAATAAGGAATTAAATAGATAATGACTAATATAGAAATTATATTCTATTTTTTGATTTGTTGAAAAAATATACTTTAGGATTTGTATTACAATATTTAATTCGTTGAATGAGTAAAAATGAAATCACGATTCGATCAAAAGATATAAACATTCCTTATATGAAATGTTATATATGTGCATAAAAAATAATAATAATAATAATAATAATAATAATAATAATAATAATAATAATAATAATAATAATAATAATAATAATAATAATAGCTATTATTATTATTATTATTATTATTATTATTATTATTATTATTATAGCATATATTTACATTGAAAAGAATTATTAATTAATGACGCCTTAGGACATATCCAATGCATCAACAATAGGGGAGAAAGAAGGGGATATTGTTATAAATATTTCTTTATTGAATATATATATATATATATATATATATATATATATATATATATCTAAAAACATAATAAGTGTCAATACAAGTTATGTCATTGATTTTTGTCCCCTTTTTATATGCTAATAAATATATACATTTTGCTTTAATTGTTGTACATTCATTTGCATTGGACAAAATCACCCTTACACCGTTATAACACCGTTAGTTTTTAATATATCTACCAATCTTACCATACACCTACATCTAACATATCTTTTTTATTTATTTTATTTTTAATTATCATTTTATTAAAATTATCATATAACAATTAATTTAATTATAAATTATATTTTAATTAAATATTTATATCCACATCTACAGAGAGCAGAACAGACTTGCGGATAGAATGGCTTCCAGGGCAGCGGCCCAACAAGGTGGAATACATACTTTTGAAAGGCCGCCGCGAGAGTTTGAAGATTTGGTCGCTTTAGACCGGATCGGAGCCTCGTCAACTAGACGGGTCTCTCTTTAAGCTTTTTGTGTAATCTGGCTGGTTTTCTCTGGGTATCCCCCTCTCACTGAAGAAAAAAAAAAAAAAAAAAAAATATATATATATATATATATATATATATATATATATATATAATATGTATGTATATATAATATGTATGCATATTATTTGTGTATCCATATCAATATATCATATATGTGAATATTAGCTTAGTATTATTTGTAAATTATTATTATATAAAAATATAATTTTTTTGTTTTGTTTTGATCACTATATTATTCAAATATATGATAATTCAAAAGTATCATCACTTTAAGAAATTCAAAAGTATCATCACTTACAAATATTTCAATATTGGGCATAAGTTTTCGCGCATCGCGCGTACAAAATGCTAGTATATATATATATATATATATATATATATATATATATATATATATATATATATATATATATATATATATATATATATATATAAAGAAATATATTCAGTCTTTTGGAAAGAATGAATTTTAGTTGATTACGTAGGTTAATTAAAAAAGGAATAAGGTTCAAATTGGCCACTGAACGTAACCTGAAAATGCAATTAGGCCACTGAACGAAAAAAAAGTGCAATTAGGCCACTGAACACTCCAAAAATGTGCAATTTCACCTGATAGCAGGTTACTCTCAATTTTAGCAGGTTATCTGCTTACGTGGCAGCTGAGTTGGCATTTTTAATAAATTTTAAATCATTTTTAATAAATTTTAATAATAAATTTTTATTTAAAAAAATTTTTAAAAAATAAAAACGACTTTATTTTATTTTTATTTAATTTTTTTTCAATTTTTTATAAAATTTATTATTAAAATTAATTATTAAAAATTATTAAAAATTATTTAAAAATTATTAAAAATGCCAACTCAGCTGCCACGTAAGCAGGTAACCTGCTAAAATTGATGGTAACCTGCTATCCGGTGAAATTGCATACGTTTGGAGAGTTCAGTGGCCTAATTGCACTTTTTGAAGTGTTCAGTGGCCTAATTGCACTTTTTATTCGTTCAGTGACCTAATTGCATTTTCAAGTTACGTTCAGTGGCCAATTTAAACCTTATTCCATTAAAAAATTCAATTGAGTTAATTCATAGGCATTTTAATTCAGTAACGAAATTATCAAGTTAAGAAACAAATTAAAATTAACCGAATTAGGCTACATGTGGACGCTATTTCCCCTTTTAAAATTCATACAAAAATACAAAATAGAATAAAAATCCAAAAGTGGAATAAACTAAAAAAAAAAAAAAAAAAATCTCAAAAATGGTGGCAAAGAGATGATTAGCCTATCAGCAAACACAGCGGTATAACTGCCATTTACCTTCTTCCAGAGAACGCGGAAACCACCAACTTCTCTCTGCACTTTTACTAACAGAGCCGCCAGGCTTCATATATTTTCCTTTCTTGGACAAGTTCTTTTCACAATGACCCTCGCGTTGTTCAAGTCAAAGGCCAATAATCTTCTGGTAAATTTCCATTCTTCTCTTCTACATTGCTGCTTTCAAACTACATTGCTTCAAGTTTTCAAATTCACACACACCCTCCCCAAAGATTTCGATTTCCGTCAAAGGGTTTGAAGAATGAATTGAACTTTCTCGCTTTTCTTTGGTTATAAGTAGGGGGTTTCCCCCTGGCTACCCGTAGTACAAGCAAGATTCAAGAAACGCATAAAAAAAAAGAAAAAAGGACTGTGAACTTCTTGTCTATAATTGTTTTTGCGTTGTGGGTTATTGTTGTTTTGTGGTTCAGTTTGTGTCATTGGCAGAGAAAGGCAGCATTAGGTGTGTCTCCTTTGTGCCAACGAAGAGAGTTAGCAATGGAGATTATTAGCAATGGCTTGAGTGACAATTCTGGAGCTGGGGGTGGTGTTAGGGACATCTATGGTGAGGATAGAGCCACTGAGGATCAGACTATCATCCCTTGGGCTTCTGCTGTTGCTAGGTATGTAAGTTTATGTTGAATCTCTTGATTAATTGTTCTGGATTTTGCTAATCTATTTCGAAGCATATTTTATGCACTCCTTATTTTCTCTCTTCCATTTAAGTGGCACATTCTTTGTTCTTTGATTTGTATTTTGGATGGCGAATGGTTTAGCTCTAAACCGTGACAGATTGATTTTATTCAGTTCCAATATATTGATTTGAAGTGAATCGATTTTACCCAATTAAAATTCATTAGTTAGTGAGTGTTAGGATTAAGCGCTTACCACTACGCCAAAAGCTATAGCTCGTAGCGAAGGTGTAACTTTATTTCCTTATACCGCCACACATTTTCAAGACGCTGGGTCTTTTACTGGCCTCTGCCCATCAATCTCCCATCCACCGGGTGCTAGACTTGGCCTTTACCAGCCTCCGCCCAACAATGAGCCTTCCTCATCAGCTAGTATTCAGAAATGCTGGATTGTGTTTAGGATGAATTTAGTTTGTAAATTAAGTAATTAACTAATCAAGGCCATCTATTGGTGATCATTTTCCTTTTTGTGTTAACTGCTGAAAAATCTTTAGAAGTCTTTAAGCAGTTTGCTACCCTGTAATAATTTATGTGGGTACTCAATGTGATGTTTAAAACAATGAACATAAACATGATAAATATTTTTTGTGTAGTTATCTCTCTTTCAATCTGCAGATTGATGAATTTTGTTTGTCATTTTATAGTGGATATACTTTGATGCGTGATCCACACTTCAACAAAGGGCTTGCCTTCACTGAGCAAGAGAGAGATGTGCATTACTTGCGAGGCCTTCTACCTCCCGTTGTTGTGTCCCAGGAACTTCAGGTAACTTGATAATGACATATTCTGTATTAGAGATGTTAATTTTGATTTGAATTCCAATCTTATACAAAACCGAGCTGTTCCTTATTATCATCCCTTTCTTGTCTTTTTTTTTTTTTTTTTTTTTTTTTTGGCAAAATCTCCGTGTCCAGGAGAAGAAACTAATGCATAATCTTCGTCAATATGATGTTCCATTGCAAAGATACATAGCCATGATGGATCTTCAGGTACATTAACAGTAGGTAGACTAAATAATGATAACTTTTTTGCTACAACATTTCAGTACTAAACTAATTTCATGAATTTATGAAAATTTGCAGGAGAGAAATGAGAGGTTATTTTATAAGCTTCTCATTGATAATGTTGAAGAATTATTGCCAGTTGTTTATACTCCAACTGTGGGTGAAGCTTGCCAGAAGTATGGAAGTATTTTCAGGCGTCCTCAGGGACTTTTTATCAGCCTAAAAGAGAAGTAATTACTTTTATTTTGATATTTACTTAGAGTTCAGCATAAAGTTGTACTAGCCAAACAGTTTAATTATCGATTCTGGCCATGGGAATTTTTCAGGGGCAAGATTCTTGAGGTGCTGAAAAATTGGCCCGAGAGGAATATACAGGTCATAGTAGTAACTGACGGTGAACGCATTTTGGGGCTTGGCGATCTTGGTTGCCAGGTAATAATACATGTTTCTATTGGCTTATCCATCGACTGGTATTTAAACATGAGTTTCAGACAACAAATGGGTAGAGGTCTACCTAAATCTCTCCGATACACGTTTGGTCAAGTCTATATTTCATGCCGAGTTATTATATTGGCTAAACGTAAAAAATTTGCAGGGAATGGGAATTCCTGTTGGAAAGCTTTCACTTTATACTGCTCTCGGAGGAGTTCGTCCCTCTGCAGTAAGTAGAATATTTGATCAATTTTGTTCTTGTTCAGCAGCAATTTAATGGAAAAAGAAACAGAATTCTGTTTAATTTTTGTATATTTGGTATCCATTTATTAATCCATTTGGGTATTTTTTTTTCCCAGTGTCTGCCTATTACCATTGATGTAGGAACGAATAATCAAAAATTACTAGATGATGAATTTTATATTGGACTTAAGCAGAGGAGAGCAACTGGACAGGTTTTATTTTTTAATCTTTGGTTTTCTTTTGTGATTTTATAATGTGTGGTTTAAGATTTCCAATCTTTAGTGTTTTAATGTTTGCCTTCTCATTTATTTTTGTTTTTTGACTCAGGAATATGCAGAACTATTGGATGAGTTCATGTCTGCTGTTAAAAAAAACTATGGAGAAAAAGTTCTCGTTCAGGTGCTTCTTTTACTTTGAAGTTTGTTAAGTACTGAACCAAAAGACATTCCCAAAACTTATCTATCCTAAATTTGGAATCACAGTTTGAAGATTTTGCTAACCACAATGCATTTGAGCTGCTGGCAAAGTATCGCACAAAACATCTCGTGTTTAATGATGATATACAGGTAACTATTGAGGCTATATATATATAGCTCTTAACTATAAGCATTCCTTGTGTTATGACAGTGTGGAATTGTGAAATTCTTTACATATATGTGCCTGCAGGGAACGGCATCTGTGGTTCTTGCTGGGGTTGTGGCAGCTTTGAAATTAGTCGGTGGAACTCTATCTGATCATACTTTCTTATTCCTGGGTGCTGGAGAGGTACCGAGCTTTCTTTAATTTATGAATCTCGATCTTTCCTATGAGTTTCTGTTTTAACCGTTGGTATTTGATGTACGTACTGAAGGCTGGAACAGGTATTGCTGAGCTTATAGCACTCGAGATATCAAAGAAGGTAATTTCATTTGATTTTGTTTATCTGAACTTGTCGTTGGGTCAATCTGATCTCCTCTGTCATTTTGCAGTCGGGTGTCTCACTGCAAGAAGCTCGAAAAAAGATTTGGCTTGTGGACTCCAAGGGACTGATTGTAAGTTCTCGGTTTGAGTCTCTCCAGCACTTCAAAAAGCCGTGGGCTCATGATCACGAACCCGTCAAGTCACTCTTAGATGCTGTCAAGGTATGGTGGAAGTTAATTGCATCTTTACAAAGTTATAGGAATTGAATTTGAAACCGGCCTCCTCGTTACATCCATTTTTGTCCATCTTAATTCCTTCCAGGCAATAAAGCCGACGGTTCTGATAGGAACTTCAGGAGTCGGAAAAACATTCACCCGGGAAGTTGTGGAGGCCATGGCAACATTCGACGAGAAACCTTTGATCATGGCTCTATCGAATCCAACCTCACAAGCCGAGTGTACTGCTGAAGAAGCTTATACATGGTCTGAGGTACGTAAATGGAATTTGCTCGTGTCTTTCGAAACATTACTGCCCGGAGCAACACCATTATTAATTCTCGAAGCTGCCAATTGCTGCAGGGCCGGGCAATCTTTGCTAGCGGGAGTCCATTCGAGCCTGTTAAATATGGGGAGAAGACGACATTTATCCCTGGCCAGGTAGCTGCTGCTATACTATACAGCTATACTTCACTCCACTCCTTAATTACTTTTCTTGCAAACTAATTTTTGGTTTTCGTTACTTTTAGGCTAATAACGCATACATATTCCCTGGATTCGGGTTAGGCCTAATCATGTCTGGCACAATTCGCGTACATGATGACATGCTCTTGGCAGCATGTAAGTAGCACCCACCTATACATTCATTTCAACTAACTTTAGGATTCTGCAAGTAGCAATATAAAACCGCCTTTAATTTGCTTGAACCGAATGGTTTGATTGTGACAGCGGAAGCTTTGGCAGCTGAGGTGACAGAAGAAAACTACGCTAAAGGACTCATATATCCACCATTCACTAAGATCAGAAAGATATCAGCCCATATTGCTGCCAATGTAGCTGCAAAGGCATATGAACTTGGTGAGTTGCTATGTTGGAATTAAGTGGACCGACATACCAAATGCATGCATGAAATGAATTACACACTTACTCCATTCTTATTGTTAGTGTGTTGATCAAGTTATTATCGGATTCCCATACTTAGGGGTGTTTGGCAAATAGCTGTTAGCGGGTTTGACTAGCTAATAGCATTAGCTAGTTGTAGAAAGACATTTGGTAAATTAACTGTTAGTTGATAGCTTATTAAATGCAAAATAACCCTTAAGGATATAATTTATTTTTTCAAAAAACTGATCGAATAAAGCTACTTTGAGCAGTTTTTTGAAATTTAGCATTTTAGAATAATAAGCTGTTATAAAAAGCTGATTAGCCAAACATTCATATTGATTGTTTAACCAAGTCAAACAAGCCAAAATTAGCTGATAAGCTAACTATGTTACCAAATAGGGGCCTAATTTCTTTTTACTTGCTTTGATTCGCAGGATTGGCTACCCATCTTCCTCGCCCAAAGGATCTTGTTAAGTATGCTGAAAGATGCATGTACACTCCAGTCTATCGCAACTATCGTTAATTCTTTCCCCATTGCCACTGAAATATTTGTTGAAATTGATTAGTTTTCATTGTAGCCAGTTGAGATTTTTCTTGCATTCTAGCTTTTTGTTTACATGAACGTTGTGTGGAAGAAGATGAAATTGAATATCCAATAAAGAAAAAAAAAACTGTCATTTTATATACTTCTGTTACTGTTTTTATAATTTAATTCTTTACTATGACTTCTATCCATCCCGTTATCTACTTCTCAATTAGTTCATGAAATGCGCATGACAGTAGATAGTAAACCCATTTGTTAAATAAACTAGACAGGCTTATTCAAATGATCAGGGTAATAACTCGCATACAATCCTTGTTTGATAAATAGCTGTTGGTTGATAGTGATTAACTGTTAGCTGATTAGGTTAATTAGAGTGTATAACTAGTTAATAGCATTAGCTGATTGTAGAATTGTAATTTGCGAGAAACGATAGGGTGTTCGCTCCGAGAGGCACATGAGCTGGTCCAAGGAGAATTGTCACTTGTGAGAAGCTCATTTGTCACTTGAACTATCCCTTTGAGTTAATTTCCCCCCTTATATGGAGTAACATCTAATTGGATTACTTCGCAAATTATGCTGTGGAAACGTGTTCAACATGCGCATGGTGCGCATGTTGAACACAGAGGTAGATCCATAATTTATATACTGTAGATTTATAATTTTTTTTTTGAAAACATAGATTCATAATCCTCGATCTCTCCCCTCATTCCATGTCCTGTCAACCACATCCCTGCATCCATCATCATGAAGCCATGCCATCTCAAAAAGGAACCCTCTCTTCCCACCACCCCTCCTTTCCCGAAGATTCAGAATCCCTAGGAAAAGAGCAGAATGATCCGAAGTTCGAGTTAAAATATTCAATACACTAGCTTCCCTGACAGTTTCACGCCACCCCTGTGTAACTAACACTTTATCTAGCCTTTCTCCAATCCAGTCCACCGTCCCTTCCCCCCTTTCCCATGTATACGAATATCCCAGCATTGGCAACTGGGCGAAACCACAATCATTAATAGTGTCCTCAAAGCCACGTAACAGTGTCTCTGGGTGGGGATTCCCTCCCCGCTTCTCATGCTAAAAAATGAGATCATTAAAATCCCCTATGACAACCCATGGTAGCTCAGATCGGTGAGATAACGATCTGATGAGCTCCCAAGAGTCATTCCGCCTTCCCCGCTGAGGAAACTCATAATAACCTGTCATTCTCCATTTATCAAAACCTGGCATGCTGACTTCTACATCCACATGATTTTTTGAGAAACTTAATAACCTTGCTGTACTATTTGTCCTCCATAATAAAGCCAATCCACCACTCAATCCAGTATTGTCAACATAAAAGAGGCCATCAAAACCAAGCTTCACCCGGAGTTGTTCAGCATGATCCCGGCCAATCTTGGTTTCCATTGAAAATACAAAATCGGGTTTCTTACAGGACACCAGGTCCACAATTTCCCGAACTGTTCGTGGATTACCCAAGTCACGACAGTTCCAGCTCAAGGTACTCATGATGATGGGCGGGTCTGGGAACCAGTACCTGCCATATGCAAGTTTTTTGAGAGATCGATCATAGTAACATCACCATTCCCCTGTCTCGTAATACTACTACCTCCCTCTCGGCGGCGTTTAGCTACCGCCACCACAGTACCTTCGGTCTCACGGCGGCATCCCTTGGGTTGCCGACCTTCCACTTCCGCCAACACGTTTGGTATCACCACTGGCCTCCTTACCCTCCATCGGTACTAACCAGCCCTCCCCGACCGCTCTCGGTCCCCGACGTGATCCTGCTCGTAAGTCCGCTGAGAACGGATATTCTTCGACCGGGTCGGTAGCATTCCGGGCATGGATGCAAAACTTATAAAGATGTCCCAACAACCCGCAATAAAAGTAGAAATTATGTAGACGCTCATATTTAAATGAGACCCAGCAAGTCAATTTATCCCGCTTAACAAACTTCATACGCCTCTTGATAGCTTTTGATCAACAGGAATAGCCACACGAATACGATAGAAAGCCTTCCACGGTACATTCACAAATCGGTCATCCCCTTTAACAAAGGTGCCAAGGTAATTACCAATCTGCTCAAGAATCTTATCCGAAGTATGGCCCATGGGTAAATCATGAACATGAACCCACATATCAACCGTATCCAAGACCACATCCTCCGGCAGTGTGCCATCTACAACCTGCCTACAAACAAGGGTTGCATTCTCATAAGCCCAGGGTCCGTCCTCCAAAACACGTTCCATGTCCGTCTTGTGGTAGAAAACGAATAGGAACAACCGCGGTTGGATCTCCGTAACCTGAACACCCTGCACCGGTTGCCATACCGAAGTCAGAACCTCACGCATGAATTCCAACTTAACAAGTTTCCGCATCAAGAACCGGCCGACGAGCGACTACACTTACTTCCTACTCGTCGCCGATTCCTCCTCCTCTTCCAGTGCTGGCGTAAATTCCGCCTCCTCCTCCTCCTCCAACACCATGTCTGCCCATCTCTTCGTTACCCCCTCCACCGTCTCACCGTCCGCCAAAGTCGCCATGCACACGCTGTTGCCTTACTGATCAGAAGCCTGCTCGTCGCCGAAGGCAGCTGGAGTGCAAAAACCGGCCAAGAACGCCGTAGAACACAAGAGAAAATAGGGAAAACCTAGGAGAAACCCTAGTAGTGGAGAGAAAACCCTAGAATTCTAGAGAGAGATTTTTTTCCAAGTGTGTCTATTCATGGGGAAAAGCAATAATTCTTTGATTAAATGTGATGGTAATGATAAAATATTTAGAATTACAAGCATGGTATTTATATGCAACCCTAAACATGTATATGTACTAAAATATCTTTGTACTGTACTGTGGGCCCCTACTCCCGCACCCTTGACCCACTTCACTCCGCTCCGTTCCATACATATGAGACATACCCAACACCACAATTGTATGACCTTTTCACGAAGTTGTTCGTGAATCACTATATATAAATGGCCTATTTTGTAGTGATATTGGTGAGCTTAAATGCTTTTCTTGTAATAGTATGCTAATTATGCGATGAACGAATAGTTACATATATTCAATAATTATATTATTTAGTTACATTACTATTGTATTATATATATATATATATATATATATATATATATATATATATATATATATATATAGAGGCTTCGAATTTGGTGCAACCCTTATACTAGATGAGATCATGAGATCTCATGATATCCATTGATTCATTTTCTATGACTAGTTGAGATTATAAGAGATTATGAAAGTAATTAAGGATATATTGAAATTAAAAGGATTAAATGGTAATTGTAGATATATGTTTAATTATGGATATAATTCAATTGGAATCTTAAGCATTATATTAGGGAGATTATCAATGGAAATTGATATTTTAAATTATTAGGGACCATGGTAATAATTAATTATATGTTGTACATCTGAAATTTTAAATTATGGGGAATTTTACGATGGTGTGTGCGTGGGTGTGGAATGGTATGTGCGTTTTATAGTTTGCCATGGTGTACACCTCTTGTTACAGAAAACCGCACACGCCTAGGCTGACTAGGGGGTGACCTCCTCGTCAAAAAATTAAAATCAGCAATCAGAGAGTGTGCTCACGGGCTCGGCTGACTAGGGGGTGTGCACCGGATTCAATATATATATACTGGAAGCACCTAGGGAAGGGTTCAGGTGTGGTAAAAGCTTCCCGTGCAGTTGTGCGGTTGACGCACCTTAAGCATTAAAATCTAAATCAACAGCTCAAATCAATGAAAATTAACAAAACAAAAAAAAAAAAAAACGCGTGTCTGGAAGAAAAGAGCTAAAAATGGTGCATATTAAGTGATAGAAACATGCACCTTAAGTATTAAAACAACGCACCTTAAGCGTTATAACAACGCACCTTAAGCGTTATAACAACGCACCTTAAGTGTTAAAATGACGCACGTTAAGCACAAAACCCACGCACCTTAAGCACAAAACTCACGCACTTTAAGTGTTAAAATGACGCACGTTAAGTTTTGTTTAAAAGTTTTGTTCTTGAGGGTCTGAACCACTCCTTAGTTCAACAATTGTGTTCTTCTTGTAGGTCTGAACCACCCATCGGTTCAAAAGTTTTGGTTCTTCACGCCCCTTAAGCACAAAACTCACGCACTTTAAGCACAAAACCCAGGCATCTTAAGAACAAAACTCACGCACTTTAAGTTTTTCAACAACTACTCACATTAAGTACAAAATACAGGCACCTTAAGCACAAAACTCACACACCTTAAGCACAAAACTCAGGCACCTTAAATTTGACCTAGTTATAAAAATTACCAAATTGCCACCGCGGTTTTTTATTTTTTTATTTTTAAATTTTGGTAATCCTGGACGTTGATTTAAACAAAATCAATGGCTCTCCTTTCAACGCACAACCGCACTTGGGGCTGCCAACCCCTATATTGTTAAAAAGTGCATGTTTAGTATTATAAAATTACACATTGTAAAAGGCAAACTTTTAACATTATACTGTACACTTAGAATTTTTTTGAAATGCATATTATGTTGTTACAAATTGAAGTGCAAGTTTAGTATTTAAAAATTGTACGTACTTTGCAAAATGTGAAAGTGCACTTCACTTAGAGTTTGAATACATGCATGGTAAAGGCAACATCCATGGTAAAGGCAACATCCATGACATAAAATTGCGCAATGGAGGCTCAAATTTATGGAGAGGTATATGTGGAACCACATATATTATTCAGAATGGACTAGGCAGAAATGGATACAATAATAGCGCTGCTAGTGAGGAAGGAAATGAAGAAGGCCAAGCTGAAAATATATACTGGAAGCAGGAAAGCAATGGACTGTTCTCAGTCTCGTTTGCATACAAAGCTACTTGCACAGTGAAGCCGAATACCACAAAGGAGAGATGGGAGGATGGTTGGAAACTTAAGGTTCCAAATAAAATCTTGATGTTTTTATGGACACTCAAACATAAACGAATCATGACGAACTTAGAGCGAATGAGAAGAGGTTTCACCATGGATACAAACTGCCTGAACTGCAGTAACCAAAGTGAAGATGCGGACCATTGTGTGCGTCAATGCAAGGAGGCTATAGAAATCTGGGAAGTATTACTACCTCATGGGGCCAAACATGAATTTTTTTCAA